GCTTTGTTCCATCTCCGGCATCCCCTTGAACTGCGCCAACACGCGATGGATGCCACGATTGTCCGGCCAAACCTCGGGCTGAGACTCATAAGAGCTATATATAATGGCACATATATCAATACCACAAAGGGTACTGAGTTCACTTAACTTCTTCATCAGACCCTTCTTCCTTTTCCTGAATGTTGCCTTTCTTGCCGAATCATTAGTGATGAAAGCGAGTTTCACTTTCTTCCTTGTCATATTTTGATATGTGGTTTCTTCTTCTAGGCATCCATTGCTATATATAATGTTGAATAAGATACTGAAATTCATTTTCAGGATTTTTTAATTTAATTTGTTTACTTGTAAGAAACACCAAGTTTATGGCAATAATTCATTGGACATTGATTGACAGTTTCAACTGAATTATTGCCCTTGATGCACTCTATTCAATTTTTGGATTCCATGGAAAAGATTAATAATTAAGTTCATGAAGATATTATACGCATATTAGTAATATACTTACACCATAGGTAACTGGAACGAGTATTCAATTTTTCCAATGAGTTAGGTTCCCTCGACTCTTCTTGCACCAACATACATCCAATTTTATGTCTAACTAGTTCAAAACCACAAACCAAAGGGTCACTCGTTTGTTTAATATTTAGTCCCAGTTTGACCCTTTTTTCTAAAATTTAATTTTCATCAAACTCATTTTATGAAACCCACAATTTGTTTTATTCATGCAGAGAAAATATGGGTATTAATTGAGAATAAATGCATTTATGTGAGTTTTTAAGGTGATAAAATAAATATTTTGAATACCATAGCAACACCTAGCGGCTATACTAAAGTTCGTATTAATGGAAATCAATTAAGGTTTTCAGTTGTTGATTACGATATTATCTGAGGAATTATTGCCCTTGATGCACGCACTCTATTCAATTTTGGATTTCATGTAAAATATTAATAATTAAGTTTATGAAGTGATTATAAAGCATATTACCAATATACTTACACCATAGGTAACTAAAACGAGTATTCAATTTTTCGTAGTATTTAGGCCTCTAACTTTATATTCCAATGAGTTAGGTTCCCTAGACTCTTCTTGCACCAACATGGAATTGGCTTGAGAATTGTGAGCCAGTGGGGACTCGCTATGATTTTGATGACGTTGCCATATATTGAGGCCAGAAAATGAGTTCTCTCTTATGAGTGATGCATAATTAGCTTCATTGCATGTAAAATCCGAAACCAATGTCCTTGGGGGCTGAGACTTACCTTTGATAAATTGCAGCTGAGTTCTTAAACTCAATGTTTCCGAATTTTTATGTTCGGACTATTAGTGCATAAGTTCAAGAGATGGGACTTCAACCTCCAACAATTTAAAATAAATGTGAATTTGATCTATCCTTGTAAATTGACAATGTATTTTTTTTCCCTGTTTTATGCTAAATTATCTCATGATTTCTTTTGAATTAGTGCAGGCAACTCTAGTTTTGTTTTTGGCAAGACACATTTCAGGAATTGTTGTGAATATTGGTTTACATCAAACTTGTGTTGTACCAAATAAGCTCTTTCTTCTTAATGCTATATCTTTTTTCTTAGAAGTATTTCACGTGATTTAGCATACCTGAATTTATTGACTTACTCATTAGATTAAAATTGTATCCAACAAGGCTAATTACAACGTGATCAGGTATTTTTACGTATAATTTTTTTCTTCTCATGAGCAACTGAACAAGCATTGGGAGATATCGTTTGCCCATTTCCGTTTTTCTTGTTTTTCTACTAATAGATTCACACATTTCAAGTTCATGTGTCCTACAATTTTTTGTGGAACCCACAATTTTTTATTCGTGCAGAGAAAATACGGCTATTAATTGAGAACAATTGTATTTATGTGAATTTTTCAGGTGACAATAAATATTTGGAATACCATAGCAACAGCTAGCTGCTATACTAAAGTTCGTATTAATGGGAATTAATTAATGATTCCATTTGTTGATTAAGATATTATCTGAGGAATTATTGCCCTTGATGTGCGCACTCTATTCAATTTTGGATTCCATGGGAAAGATTAATAATTAAGTTTATGAAGTGATTATAAGCATATTAGTGATATACTTACACCATAGGTTACTAGAACGAGTATTCAATTTTTCGTAATATTTAGGCCTCTAACTTTATATTCCAATGAGTTAGGTTCCCTCAACTCTTCTTGCACCAACATACATCCAATTTTATGACTAAACTAGGTCTAAACCACAAACTGAAGAGTCACTCGTTTGTTTAATATTTAACCCCTGTTGATCCTATTTTCTAAAATTTATTTTTCGTCAAAATGATTTTATGAAACCCACAATTTATTATTCATGCAGAGAAAATATAGGTATTAATTGAGAACGAATGTATTTACGAGAGTGTTTAATGTAATATTCTGACATTTCGTAGAATAGAATTTAATTTATGTATGTTACAATTTAATATTTTGAAAGTTTAGGGACTAAAGTATATATAAAGTAAATTTAAATTTAATTTTGATTAAAATGTAGGCATTGGCGGAGTGATAATAAGAATATGAATATTGGGCTCATTGGGTAGATTATAATTAAAGATGCATATTAGGCTCGAGAAAAAGTTAATTTGGATTAGCGGAGCCTGAGATATCGAGGTCGAAAGATGTAACCTTAAATTATATTTTAATTGTGTTATTTAATGAATTTAAAACTCTATGAAGGTGGCACGTGTATAGAGTGGCATTGGTAGGATTTAATTGATTAAATAATGATTTTATAAGAAAATGAAAGGGAAAGATGAGGGAAGCCACGTTCCTAATGGTTAAAACTAATTCCCTTGTATATATATGGTGCACTGCCACGTGTAAGATATAAATTATTTTTTTTTAAATTGTGGGCAGTTGGCAAGATTGGGTCAAGTTTCTGTTTCAACTATTTTGATCCATATTTCTTTCCCCACTCCCACACGTTTCCTCATTTTTTTTATATAGATATTTTTATTATATCATATGAAAACAATAGCTTTCATTCACTTCACTGTAATATTATTGCACGATAAGGCAGAAAGAAAAGAAAAAATAGTTTGCAACGTGATTTCGGGTTTTCTTATTCCAAGAAATTGTTGGAGCGTGAACCTTGTTTTAACTTCTAAAATTTAAGCAGTTTAACAAGGTAGGATATGAGGTGCAGTATTTTTTTAATTTCCCGTTTAATTATTTTGGCTACACGTGGACGAATTTCATATTTATGAAAGTTAAAGTTATGATATTAATGCTATGATATGAATGATATGGTCATTCCGGTACAATGAAATGAAATGATATGATATGATGTGAGCTCTTACCGAATTTAAAGTTATGCGATGGTATGATATTCTGACACTTGTGTTAAAATTATTTTTCGGGATCGCACCATTAATGTGATATCCTACTGAGTATTCCCATGTACTCACCCTTTTCCTACACCTCATAGGTTAGATCGGGTCCTGTTGGAGCGTGGTTGTGCCTCATTTGCTGGACGAGGATTTATAATTTTAACAAGTAATTTTAGTTCATTACCATAGACATCCTATTTTAAAAATTAAGTTATCATTTATGTTTATTTGCTACATGGATGTTTTTTTTTTTAAATCATTTTAAATAGAGCTCGAACTATATGTTACTGCTTTTATCAATTTTAATGGTTAAAAGAAAATTGATTAACTGTCAAGTTCACGTCAAAGACTTTTGCATTTTTCTAAGGCATCTACAACCTTTTCAAGATTTATAACATGCATGGCCAAAACAATGATTCTGTACTTGTCACACCAAATTTTCAATTGTCTGCCTACCACAGTTAACTTTATGCAGTGGAGTTGTATTATTCATTTGTACTTTGAATTGGATTTTATGATAAAAATATTCATAACCCATATTCACTAATCATGCTAGTATAAAAGTTGTTAAATACGCACAAATGTTATTTCATTTTATATACTGTTCAACTTAAATATTATTTCTTACACCAATGTCACTGTTTAATAATAATTGAATATTTTCTTACTGACAAATTCATTTCAAAGAAGTAAATGTAAATCTCATAGCCATGTTATGTAACGTGTTTGGATTTTCTCAATGAAAATAAGTTTTTAAAAGTATCCTTGTCTTTTATCACCTGTTAGTTAAAATTCTTTAGTTAAAATGTTTAGTTGGCCATGAACACATCGAAATATACTCATTTACTCCTAGCAGATTAGATTTCTAGAATGTGCCAGAGGATAATTTAAAATTTATTAATCATGTGGATTCCAATTTATTAATCATGTGGTTTCCAATAAATTTGATCCTTTTATAATAAAGTTGGTAGCGACTAAAATAAAAAAATAATAATAATAATAAAATAAAATAAAAATTTTGGATTGTTACAGTTTGGTATCAGAGCGTAGGATTAATTTCCTGTAGACTCATGTGTATTTTCATAATTTGGTTTTAAAAAAAAAAGGACGTGAACGTCACTGTTCACTGTATGGCAGTTCACTGTTCACTGAACAGTAGCACTGTTCTCGTGAACAGTGATGTTCACTGTTCACGTGAACAGTTTAAAAAAAAAATGGTGTGATTGTTTAAATAGTTTATGTGGGTATATATTTATATACTTACTAGAAATACCTTTCTTAGAATAAATTTTGTGTTTAGCCACAATAATCACTAAATTACTTAGTTACTAGATTTTTTTTCAAATGTATGAAATTTTATAATAGTCCATGCAGTAGTATATGGTATTTTCTAGTAGCTAAAATCTCGATATAATTCCCCATGTAAAAAAAAAAAAAAAAAAAAAAAAAAAAATATATATATATATATATATATACACACACACACACACTGGATTTTATACGTTTTAAATATTAGGTGTAATAAAATGTTTATTTGTTTCCTTGCGTAGTATTTGTTAAAGGTTAACATTTTTTGAAGATTTATGAATTTAACAATAATGACAAATTTAAAATTATTAAATATATGAATGGTCTTTGGCACTCAACGACCACCCTCCGACGACTCTAAGGTATGTAAAAGGGTAAGAACATGAATACACTTGGGTGTTTTGCATAAGTTATATATTTTAAATTACCTACTTCTATATTTTTAAGACATGCACTTTGTTTTCTCCACTAAATTGATAATATGTATTATGATAAAAACAAGTATAACGTGATAGACTGAGTGCTGAAATGTGATCGTAACTTCATATTAAATTTTAGGAAATGGCACCACCTACTCATACGAATTTGATGCGTGATTTACTACGAGCGGTACAAGAGTTGAGCAGGCAAAATCAAGCACCTCCACCACAAAATGCACCGCCACAGCAGAATGCACTGCATTTAGCCCCTGGAGTTGTCTCAGTGGTTGAGCAGTTTCGTAGGTACAAGCCTTCCACTTTTGACAGTAATTCTAAACCACTGGTTGTCAAAGAGTGGATAAGAGGTCTGGAGCGCATATTTCGACACATTGCTTGTACTGATGCACAGAAAGTGTTATGTGCAGAATTTATGTTGATTGGAGCAGCTAGTCACTGGTGGGAATCTGTTTCACGTACAAGGATAGAAGAGCAGCAATGTAATCTAACTTGGGAGCAGTTTAAAGACGAAGTGATGGCAAAATATTTTCCACAAGCTTTAAGGGACTTCAAGGAATCAGAATTTCTGCAGCTCAGACAGGAGAACATGTCACTTACTGATTACGAAAGGCAATTTGAGAAACTCTCAAGGTATGCCCCGCACTTGGTGGATACAGAAGTTAAGAAGATTAGGAGGTTCGAGAATGGACTGCGCCCTGAGATCAGCATGATCATTATGTCCCATCGTTTCACCTTATCTCGTGAAATGTTGGAGAGCGCTCACGCTATTTCATATCAGAGGACCTCATTTGAACAGTATGCCCAGCAAAGTAAAGATTCGTTTGGAAAAAGGAAGTGGAGTGATCAAAGAAAAAATAGATGCAACTGGCAGAATAAAAGGCCAAGCACAGGAATTCGCATTAGTGGGACGAGTGGAAGTATTACACCCTGTTCTAAGTGTAATAAACTCCACAAGGGTGAATGCTTGCTCGGGAAGAACGTGTGCTTTAGGTGTGGTAAGCCCGGACACATCGTTCTCAACTGTCCAGAGCCTCTAAAGAAGAAGGATGATGATCAAGACCCAAACAAGAAAGGAAAGGCCCGAGTTTTCGCACTAAATCAGCATGAGGCGGAGCAAGATCCGAAAGTGATAGCAGGTATTTATTTTTTTTAACATTCCTGCTTATGTTCTTTTTACCTAGGACTAAACATTGTTCGTTTCTATCCTTTGGCTGCCAGTCTAACACTATGATTACAAAAGCAGGAATTCTGTTATTATCCAATGTGCCTACTTACGTACTTTTTGATTTCGGGGCTACCAATTCTTTTATATGTGCATCTTTTGTCGCTAGGTCCAACTATGCATGTGTTAGAACGGATAATGAATTAGAGGTTAGCATCCCGTCAGGAAAAACTCTTTGCACAAACCAGATGACTAAATCTATGAAGTTAGAGATTGAAGGAAAAATATTGGAAGCAGACTTATACCTCTTGGAAATGAAAGATTTCGATGTTATTTTAGGCATGGATTGGTTAGGACTTAATCATGCAACCATTCGATGTCACGAAAAAGAAGTGCAATTTCATAGACTAGGAGAGGAAGAGTTCCATTTCTTTGGAGCAAAGTTCAAATTCCTACCTCGTCTTATATCAGCTATACAAGCGAAGAAGATGTTGAGGAAAAAGTCATGCCAGGGATTCTTGGTTAGCATTATTGGTTCTCAACATATAGAGACGACTGTTAACGATATCAATATCGTGCGAGACTTTGCAGATGTGTTCCCAGAAGATTTGCCAGGCATTCCACCAGGTAGGCAAGTGGAATTTACAATTGATTTGATTCCTGAAGCAGCACCAGTATCCAAGGCCCCGTATAGAATGACACCGAAAGAACTTCAAGAATTGAAGTTGCAATTGGAAGAATTGCTAGAGAAAGGTTTCATTCGACCGAGTGTATCTCCTTGGGGAGCTCCTGTACTTTTTGTCAAGAAGAAGGATGGGAGTATGAGGATGTGCATTGACTACCGAGAATTGAACCATCTGACCATCAAAAATAAGTATCCGTTGCCAAGAATAGAAGATTTGTTTGACCAGTTAAGGGGGTGCATCAGTGTTTTCAAAGATCGACTTGAGGTCAGGATATCATCAACTGAAAATCAGGGCAAGCGATATACCGAAAACTGCTTTCAGGACTCGGTATGGGCATTATGAATTCACTGTTATGCCTTTTGGTTTGACCAATGCTCCAGCTGTATTTATGGATCTCATGAACAGAGTGTTCCATCAATACTTAGATCAGTTTGTCATAGTATTTATTGATGACATACTCGTATACTCCAAAGATAGGAAGCAGCATGAGGAACAACTCCGAGTAGTGCTTGAGACTTTGAGGAAGGAGAAATTATATGCTAAATTCAAGAAGTGTAAATTTTTGCTTGATCGCGTAGGTTTCCTTGGTCACGTGGTTACCACCCAAGGAATCAAAGTAGATCCTGCTAAAGTGGAAGCAATAACAAATTGGCCAAGTCCGACCAGTGTGGGTGAAGTCCGTAGTTTCTTAGGATTGGCTGGCTATTACAAAAGATTCATTGAAGGCTTCTCAACAATAGCAGGGCCGATGACTCAGTTAACAAGAAAGGGTGTGAAGTTTCAGTGGACGGAAAAATGTGAAAAATGTTTTCAAGAACTTAAGCAGAGGCTAGTCTCAGCTCCTGTATTGACGATACCTGAAGGTTCAGAGGGATTTGTGATCTATAGCGATGCCTCCAAGCAAGGTTTGGGTTGTGTACTGATGCAGTATGGAAAAGTGGTGTCTTATGCCTTGAGACAGTTGAAGCAATATGAACAAAACTATCCAACGCACGACTTGGAGCTTGCAGCGGTAGTTCACGCCTTAAAGATATGGCGTCATTATCTCTATGGTGGGAAGTGTGAAATTTATACAGACCACAAGAGTCTTAAATACTTCTTCACACAGAAGGAACTGAATATGAGACAGAGAAGATGTTTGGAACTAGTGAAAGATTACGACTGCACGATTCATTACCATCCGAGTAAGGCTAACGTAGTTGCAGATGCCTTAAGCAGAAAGACAGGATCACAATTAACAGTTCTACCCACAGTGCAGAAACACTTGATAAGGGACTTTGAGAAATTGAGATTGAAAGTTATCACACCACCAACTCAGACTACAGCAAGAATAAGAGCGTTTATGATTCGGCCTACTCTTCAGGATCGAATCAAGGAGGCACAGAATAAGGATCCATTTCTAAAGAAGATAAAGGCTGAGGTTGGCACAAACAAACGTATAGGATTTGAAATGTCTACAGATAACGCGCTGATTTTCAAAGGAAGGTTATGTGTACCTAAAGATGAAAGTATAAGAAATGAAATACTAGAAGAGGCTCACTCTACCCCGTATTCAGCACATCCAGGTGGCACGAAAATGTATCGAGATCTTCGAGATACATTTTGGTGGAGAAATATGAAGAGAGGAATTGGTCAGTTCATTGAAAAATGTATTATCTATCAGCAGGTCAAAGCAGAACACCAAAGACCATCAGGACTACTGAAACCGTTGGACATTCCAGAATGGAAGTGGGAACACATAACGATGGACTTTGTGGTAGGCCTCCCAAGGACAGCAAAAGGTCACAATGCTATCTGGGTAATGGTTGATCGTTTGACGAAGTCAGCCCATTTTCTACCAATCAAGGTAAACTTCAACATGGAACAGTTTGCACAGCTATACATCAAAGAGATAGTCAGACTGCATGGAGTTCCAGTCACTATTGTTTCAGATAGAGATCCGAGGTTCACGTCCAAATTTTGGAAAAGTTTACAGACAGCCATAGGGACGAAACTAAAGTTTAGTACTGCTTATCATCCATAAACAGATGGGCAGTCAGAAAGAACCATTCAAACCCTTAAGGATATGCTGAGGGCATGTGTTTTGGATCTTGGAGGTAGTTGGAAGACACACGTGCCTTTAGTGGAGTTTGCTTACAACAATAGCTTCCAGGCCACTATAGGTATGGCCCCTATGAAGCTCTTTACGGTAGGAAGTGCAGATCCCCTATCCATTGGGATGAGGTCGGAGAGAATAGAATTTTGGGTCCTAAAATCATTGAACGAACAGTTGAGGCAGCTGACAAGATTAGAGCTAGAATAAAGACAGCACAAGATCGACAAAAAAGTTATGCGGATAGTAGGAGAAAGGATTTGGAATTTAGTGTGGGTGACAAAGTTTTCCTTAAAGTAGCACCCATGAAGGGTGTATTGAGATTTGGCAAGAAGGGAAAATTGAGACGGCGATTTATTGGACCTTTCGAGATCCTTGAAAGAATTGGTGTTGTGGCTTACCAACTTGCCTTACCACCTAAACTTGCAGCAGTGCATAACGTATTTCATATATCGATGCTTAGAAAATATGTTCATGATCCCAATCATGTAATAAGTTATCAAACAGTGGACGTACAAAGAGACTTATCATATGAAGAAACCCCGATGATGATTTTGGATAGAAAGCTACATCAACTCAGAAACAAAGAGGTTTCCTTGGTTAAGGTCCAGTGGCAAAATCATGGACTTGATGAGTCAGCTTGGGAGAAAGAAGAGTAGCTTAAAGCCAAGTATCCAGAGCTCATTGATTAACCAAGGTAAATTTTCGAGGACAAAAATATTTTAAGGAGGGGAGATTGTAATATTCCAACATTTTGTAGAATAGAATTTAATTTATGTATGTTATAATTTAATATTTTGAAAGTTTAGGGACTAAAGTGTATATAAAGTAAATTTAAATTTAATTTCGATTAAAACGTAGGCATTGGCGGAGTGATAATAAGTATATGAATATTGGGCTCGTTGGGTAGATTATAATTAAAGATGCATATTAGGCTCGAGAAAAAGTTAATTTGGATTAGCGGAGCCTGAGATATCGAGGTCGAAAGATGTAACCTTAAATTATATTTTAATTGTGTTATTTAATGAATTTAAAACTCTATGAAGGTGGCACGTGTATAGAGTGGCTTTGGTAGGATTTAATTGATTAAATAATGATTTTATAAGAAAATGAAAGGGAAAGATGAGGGAAGCCACGTTCCTAATGGTTAAAACTAATTCCCTTGTTTATATATGGTGCACTGCCACGTGTAAGATATAAATTATTTTTTTTTAAATTGTGGGTAGTTGGCAAGATTGGGTCAAGTTTCTGTTTCAACTAATTCGATCCATATCGCTTTCCCCACTCCCACACGTTTCCTCATTTTTTTTATATAGATATTTTTATTATATCATATGAAATCAATAGCTTTCATTCACTTCACTGTAATATTATTGCACGATAAGGCAGAAAGAAAAGAAAAGATAGTTTGCAACGTGATTTCGGGTTTTCTTATTCCAAGAAATTGTTGGAGCGTGAACCTTGTTTTAACTTCTAAAATTTAAGCAGTTTAACAAGGTAGGATATGAGGTACAGTATTTTTTTAATTTCCCGTTTAATTATTTTGGCTACACGTGGACGAATTTCATATTTATGAAAGTTAAAGTTATGATATTAATGCTATGATATGAATGATATGGCCATTCCGGTACAATGAAATGAAATGATATGATATGATGTGAGCTCTTACCGGATTTAAAGTTATGCGACGGTATAGTATTCTGACACTTGTGTTAAAATTATTTTTTCGGGATCGCACCATTAATGTGATATCCTACTGAGTATTCCCATGTACTCACCCTTTTCCTACACCTCACAGGTTAGATCGGGTCTTGTTGGAGCGTGGTGGTTCGATGCGTGGTTGTGCCTCATTTGCTGGACGAGGATTTATAATTTTAACAAGTAATTTTAGTTAATTGCCATAGACATCCTATTTTAAAGATTAAGTTATCATTTATGTTTATTTGCTACATGGATTTTTTTTTAATTCATTTTAAATAGAGCTCGAACTATATGTTACTGCTTTTATCGATTTTAATGGTTAAAAGAAAATTGATTAACTGTCAAGTTCACGTCAAAGACTTTTGCATTTTTCTATAGCACCTACAGCCTTTTCAAGATTTATAACATGCATGGCCAAAACAATGATTCTGTACTTGTCACACCAAATTTTCAATTGTCTCCCTACCACAGTTAACTTTATGCAGTGGAGTTGTATTATTCATTTGTACTTTGAATTGGATTTTATGATAAAAATATTCATAACCCATATTCACTAATCATGCTAGTATAAAAGTTGTTAAATACGCACAAATGTTATTTCATTTTATATACTGTTCAACTTAAATATTATTTCTTACACCAATGTCACTGTTTAATAATAATTGAATATTTTCTTACTGACAAATTCATTTCAAAGTAGTAAATGTAACTCTCATAGCCATGTTATGTAACGTGTTTGGATTTTCTCAATGAAAATAAGTTTTTAAAAGTATCCTTTTCTTTTGTCACCTGTTAGCTAAAATTCTTTAGTTAAAATGTTTAATTGGCCATGAACACGTCGAAATATACTCATTTACTCCTAGCGGATTAGATTTCTAGAATGTGCTAGATGATAATTTAAAATTTATTAATCATGTGGTTTCCAATAAATTTGATCCTTTTATAATAAAGTTGGTAGCGATTAAAAAAATAATAATAATAATAATAAAATAAAATAAAAATTTTGGGTTGTTACATTTAAGGTGACAGAATAAATATTTGGAATACCATTGCAACAGCTAGCTGATATACTAAAGTTCGTATTAATGGAAATTAATTAAGGTTTCCTTTTGTTGATTAAGCTATTATCTGAGGATATATGTGGGTAATCATGAAATAAACATGAGTAAATTATGGAAAGAAAAGAGTAACCGAGTAGCAATGAATCCAAATTTATTGGACTCATCTCTCAGTAGCCACTATCGTCCCAACCCTAACACCACCTCCTTTGACATATATTTTCTCTTTTTTTAACATTTCTGTTAGCAAAATTGATTGTCTTGAGAATATGTAGTGTGTAACTCATTCATAATAAATTTACTAGGAAGAAAAGGGTAACATTATTTTTATCTTAAAAATGAAAACTGGCTACCTTAATTATTTAGACCCTTTTTGGTGGTCTTTAATTTAATTTACTGTATTCCTCATATTCATTTTTACATATTTGCGCAATAAAATATTTTACCCGTAAATTCAATACTTTTTCTACTTTTACAACTCCTCCTGAGGGAGGTGAAGTATACCCAAAATGCTCACAGTTATAATTTATAACAATAGATTTGGAGAAGACATCATTTCTTAAAATATATTCGTTGTGAATGAGATTAAAGAGGTACTTCCGGATAAGAATTGAAGTCATAAAAAAATAAAATAAAATAAAATCGACCAATTGGAGGGAAAATTAGAATAATAACTTGTGAAAGCACGAAGAAGTTTAATTTTCTTCTGACCAAAATTTCTTGATGAAACACATCTAATTTGCCTCATTGATTTTACATTTCCTGAAACTAAACAAACACGTGAAACTATAGAAGAAATAAGTTTTATATAGTCATGCTAACAAATAATAAAAAGACTAATCTAACTTTAAAACTACTAACTAATTTTTTCCTGGCTGGTTTCGGATTCTTGATAGCAGACTTGTTGAACAGAGGTTGGCAAAGAGCTAGGGATGGGGATTGTGAGCTGTATGGAATTTTCTTATCCAGCCAGTATTGCCACAATCTTCGGCCTGATGTTAGTCTCGATGCTTTCCAGCTTCTGAATCAGCTTTTCTTCATTATAGTTCGATGCCGGTTTTCAAAACGAATAAGCCAGCATGATTAATGCTATGAACATAAGTAACACCATTAGGGCTAATCCACCAAAAAGGTAAGGCATTGGAGAACTCCAATTCCAAAAATGACCTTGGAATTGTAGTGTTTGTACTTGTAGGCATCATCTCTCTCCCGGAAGGATATTCGTATGTAAGATTTGCTTCTTCAAGAGCAATATCAAAAATATTCTTACGAGAAATTGATTATAAATTGATAATATTTCTAAAGTAGTAATTTATTTTTCTCATAAAGTAATAAATTTCATTCAAGCTTAATTCACACAAATATTGTTGGGAATTTACTTAACATGTATAGTGGAATTTAAACAAAATTTTCAATTCCCATCAAGGATCTTCTTTGTGCTTATATAGAAATTGTGATAAAGAATTATATCTTTAATGAATTACTTGAAGAACACTTCTAATCTGCAATCAATAGTTATCAATTGTCCAGCCTTCAATGAAAATCTCCATCGGAAAAAAGATTGAGAGAACTAGGTTTTTTATTTCTTGTGCTAGCAAGAATTTAATCATATTCTCTTATGAATTTTCAAACTTAGCAGCATATTAATATAAGTCTAATTGGGATTGACCCGTCTTTTAAACGTAATCCGGTCTAATATTTAATTAATTCAATCAATTAAATTTGGCCATGAATTAATTAATTTGGACATATTGGCAAGCAAGTCAATTTATCGATTACCCCAACACTTGTCAACTAATTAATTGGTAAATCTTATTCTTTCAGTTCTTTTTGTTTGTGACTCATTAGGTTCCCGATCATGATGTCTAACAACATGAATTATTATTTGGGTTTACGTGGCTTCCCTTCGTGTTTTCTTGAGCAGCCAATTTACCATTTTAATTTTCCAACAATTTGACCATTCCATTTGGGGCTACGTGGCTTCCCTTCCTTCTACATATCACCATCTAGGTTAAGTTGGAATTTCTTTTCTTTTTGAGTGCAAATGCACGAAGAACAAGCTTGTTTGATTTGTACTTATGATCTTGGCAAAAAATTTAAAGCGTTGAACCGATAACATGTTATTAAATTAAAAGAACAAGAAAGAAAAATAGAAAAGAAAATTGTATTGAGAGAGTCAAAACTCAAGTTAGTTTTATAGGGAACGCTCCATATTTATTATAAGGATCCATATATCACACTATTTAATTTTTAGAAGCATAAGAAATTCAATCCCTATTTTAACAAGTGACGATCAATAACCAATTTTCAATAAAAAGAACAAACATCATATAAAAATTCTTTGGATTAAAGAATCTTCCCGTTTTTCATTTAATATCCATTTGAATTCTCATTTCGCATCACTATTGATTCAATGATAAGACATGCCAAATAATAAAATAAAAGAACCATTGAATTTTGGTTTAATACATTACTCAATTATAATAATATACAACATCAATTAATGATATATATTTTAGAAATTTAGTATGTTCATTTTTCCAATTTAGTAGAGAGAATAAATTACTAACAAAAGTAAAATTTATCCCTACGTATAACATAAAATTAGCTCTTCTGAGCTTCTAGTCAGATACACAAAATATGATATTGTATAAATATAATCGCTGTCATTTTTTTCTTTTTCCTTAAAGGAGTTGTAATATGTTTAATTTGATAGTTAATGTACGTTGTGTACCAAAAATGATTGAAAAAAGAATGTTCTATTGTCATTTTCTAAACATAAAAAGCATTAATAATTTTCTGTCGTTATAACACAATTAATAATGATTTATATAATAACATCCATACAGTACGATCAAAATATCTATTAAAAATTAACTCTAGTCAACAATCGATGTTTAAATCAACGATGTCAAATAGTTCAAAGGAATTTAGATATCTAAATGAACCACGTCATATTTTAACAATTAAATTTAAAATTTCAATTTTGACCAAAGTTCAATAATTCAAATAACGTGCTTTTAATATTCAAACTAAATAATTTAAATTCAAGACTTTAGCTTTATTCTTTTCTTGCAAATCGCAAATCAAAAAATATGAATCATTCAATGTAAACTTTTAAATATATATTTGCACTTATTCAAGTTTCATATTCTCGAAGATGGAGAAAACTAGTATAACTAATTTAATGAAATAATAACAATCGGTACATGATGAATGACAGAATTTGCATATGATCAAAGCCTTTTTTTTTCCCTCCAAGTCTATGAAATAATAATTTGCGACTACTTCTCATCAAAATGATTAAATTTCATTAACTTAGCAAAGAACAATAAACAATTTTTTTTTTTTGGCGTGAGACATAAGAAAAAAATGTACTTTTAAACTTATGATACATATCGGGATTGGTAACATTTCAGAAGCATAAAGTGATCTTATTCGAGAATTAAAAACTTATAAATTTATGCTCTTTAAGAGCAATATTACAATATTCTTCAATATATTGTAATGATCATGTGTAAAAGTAAAGTCAAGAACTAGATGAGGTAAGTTAGTGATTGAGTCGTTGAATGAGTCCAAGATGTCCAAGAAGATCGCATATGATCATCAAAATGCAATAAGAAGTTTAAATGATATCAAAGAGCCACACAAATTATGTTCCAAATTCTCAGTCATAACTACCAACACATTTCTCACATAGGAAACATTGGAATTTGGACAAGGCTTTCTCGAATAATTGTAGCCTTTATCTTTCCAACGCATTTTAAATCATTCGGACATCGGGAGATAAAATTATGATGAAAATACTGGTGACTACTTAACTGTCGCTTGATTCTAGCTGGTTTCTCTCTCGAGTGAAAAAATAGAATGTCTCTTGCTCGATTCTCGCTAGCTCCTCACTCAAGAGACAATCTTAGGTTCAAAACACCCTAATACATATTTTTGAAGTATTTTACTCGCACATACTACTTAAACACCTTCAAATATAAATACCCAAGACCTAGCACAAATTTTATGTGGTTGATGATTTTATTTCACTTTCATATCATCCTTTGAAGATCCAAGAACATATTCTCTCATTGATTTCAATCCTTTAAGTCTTGAATTCATACAACAACATATTGGAAAAACACGAAAGATCTAAAATCCAAAACATCCACTTCCTTAATACAACAAGGAATGAACTTTCTCAATTGAAACTTCAGAGGCTTCTGAAGATTGAGGAAGGTTAGACTATAAGCGCAGGTATAAGAATATAAATAGGTGATTCTTAGAGTTTCACTTGGAAGAAACAATTGTAAAAGATTGGTAAGCTGGAGGAGGGTGTAGTATCTTGGAGATTACAGGAAGTAGATCGGAGAGTCCAGTAGAGTTGGCTAGGTAGCATCTAACATTGATAGTCATTGTCTATAGTAGAGGTAACTGGCTTGTTCCAGGAGTTTTTACCTAGTCGAGGTTTCTCTATCATCATGTTGTGTTATTTACTATTTTCTTATTATGAACTACGACAATTCAACTTAGGATAATTGGATTGTTTGATAACTATTAAAAAGTGACTTGTTGCTTTTAATAGAATAATTCTGCACGTAAGGTCAACCTAAATAGCTAAGTAATAGAACTTTCAAGGGTTATCAAAGCCTAAATATGTGTCTTGACCTTATTTGTCTAGATTAGTGGTTCACTATCTGTACAATCATACTTTGATGGTGCCAATTATGCCTAATAGTAAAATTTATCCCTACGTATAACATAAAATTAGCTCTTCTGGAGCTTTTAGTCAGATACACAAAATATGATATTGTATAAATATAATCGCTGTCATTTTTTTCTTTTTCCTTAAAGGAGTTGTAATATGTTTAATTTGATAGTTAATGTACGTTGTGTACCAAAAATGATTGAAAAAAGAATGTTCTATTGTCATTTTCTAAACATAAAAAGCATTAATAATTTTCTGTCGTTATAACACAATTAATAATGATTTATATAATAACATCCATACAGTACGATCAAAATATCTATTAAAAATTAACTCTAGTCAACAATCGATGTTTAAATCAACGATGTCAAATAGTTCAAAGGAATTTAGATATCTAAATGAACCACGTCATATTTTAACAATTAAATTTAAAATTTCAATTTTGACCAAAGTTCAATAATTCAAATAACGTGCTTTTAATATTCAAACTAAATAATTTAAATTCAAGACTTTAGCTTTATTCTTTTCTTGCAAATCGCAAATCAAAAAATATGAATCATTCAATGTAAACTTTTAAATATATATTTGCACTTATTCAAGTTTCATATTCTCGAAGATGGAGAAAACTAGTATAACTAATTTAATGAAATAATAACAATCGGTACATGATGAATGACAGAATTTGCATATGATCAAAGCCTTTTTTTTTTTTTCCCTCCAAGGCTATGAAATAATAATTTGCGATTACTTCTCATCAAAATGATTAAATTTCATTAACTTAGCAAAGAACAATAAACAATTTTTTTTTTTTGGCGTGAGACATAAGAAAAAAATGTACTTTTAAACTTATGATACATATCGGGATTGGTAACATTTCAGAAGCATAAAGTGATCTTATTCGAGAATTAAAAACTTATAAATTTATGCTCTTTAAGAGCAATATTACAATATTCTTCAATATATTGTAATGATCATGTGTAAAAGTAAAGTCAAGGACTAGATGAGGTAAGTTAGTGATTGAGTCGTTGAATGAGTCCAAGATGTCCAAGAAGATTGCATATGATCATCAGAATGCAATCAGAAGTCTAAATAATATCAAAGAGCCGCACAAATTATGTTCCAAATTCTCAGTTATAACTTCCAACGCATTGCTCACATAGGAAACATGAGAATTTGGACAAGGCTATCTAAAAAATAACTGTAGCCCTTATCTTTCCAATGCATTTTAAATCACCTAAATCGGACATCGGAAGATAAAATTATGATGAAATTACTGGTGACTACTTGGCTGTCGCTTGATTCTCGCTGGCTTCTCTCTCAAGCGAAAAAATAGAATGTCTCTTGCTCGATTCTCGCTAGCTCTTCACTCAAGCGACAATCTTAGGTGCAAA